GATACTATTCAATGAAGCCATAGAACTTATTAAACTCCTGTATCAGTCAAACTGTTCAATAAAACCTGGTGTAAGAATAGGTTGAAAGTGGAGATGGATTGGATATAGACTGAAAAGACAGTTTGGGGACATCATACGCCAGACCAGGCTCTCGAATGGAACCAAAATTGGAAACGTCCAGTTGAGTGTTCAAGGTGAAGGTGACATGGAGAAGATCGTGTAAGGAAGAAATGAAAGCTTGTAGGCAGTGGTGAAGCCAGGTTGAAAAGACTCCAGATAACTGCAGAATGAAATGGTGACGTACTACTGAAGCCATTTGTTCCACTAGGAACCCAAGGGACAAATAATAATAAGAAAGGGTTGAAGAGAAGTATATGATGATCAAAATGAAAAAATATAACATCAGCTAAATAAAGTCACTAAATACTTTCATAAAGCATTTTTTATATTATTATTATTATTATTATTTGTCCCTTGGGTTCCTAATGGGACATACGATTTCAGTAGCACGTCTCCATTACACTCTCTTCTCTACAATCTTTTCAACCTGGCTCCACGACCGCCCACAAGTTCTCATTTCTTCCTCACACGATCTCTTCCATGTCACCCTCGCCTCCCACGTTCAACTTGCCATTTCCCATCTGGGATCGACTCGAGTGCCTGGCCTGGTGTGTGATGTCCCCAATCGGTCTTCTCAGTGTATTCTCCATCCATCTCCACTTTCTTCTTCTGCATATTTGTTAGGTGATAGATTGTTGGTTAGTTGCCAGCCAGCCAGAGTTCCTCGTTCCTTATTCTTATTATTCTGGCCATCTTTTGCGAGCTTCAGTAACGAGCCAGTGTAGGCAGTTGTTGATGAATGTCTATAATTTGTTGGAAATGCCTTTTGTAAAGCGCCAAGTCTCTGAGTCATACAGAAGCACTGACTTGAGGTTAGTGTTGAAAATTCGGATGTTGTTCCACATGCTGAGTGCAGTGAAGTAGATCTCCACACTGGTTGCAGGCCAATGAACACCTGTTTTACTTTTCCGATCTTGCCTGGCTTTGACGTCCTCGTCTGTGCCGCCACCTGTAGTTGAAACAGTGCTGCCCAGAAAGGTGAAAGAAACTACTTCCTTTAAGTTTCTCCCGTTCATGGTGATTGGGGCTTCTTGTTGTTGTTGGTAGGGTATCATCATCACCTCTACCTCTATCTTCTCTGTGTTCACTTGAAGTCCTATAGACTGAAAAGACGGCTTGGGGGCATCACACACCATGCCGGGCTCTCGAATAGAACCAAAATGCGAAACGTCCAGTTGAGTGTCCGAGGCGAGCATGACATAGAGGAGATGGTGTGAGAAAGAAATCAGGGCTTCTAGGTAGTCGTGGAGCCAGGTTGAAAAGACTCCAGATAACTGCACAGTGAAATGGCGACGTGCTACTGAAGCCCTATGTTCCACTAGGAACCTAAATGACAAATAATAATAGTATCAAACACCTTAATCAATGTCTCAGCTTGTCGTATGTACGTAGTCACGTTTCCCTGTATTGCATACATCATGGTGTAAATGTAGAGTCAATTATGTAAATATAAATTATAAAGCTACCCCTTACATCATTTAATGAGCAGTCATATCTATTACTACAATACAATAATAAAAATATTCATGTGTACTTTGATCAGTTTATTTCAAGAACAATTAAGGTTATCACAATTTCATATGAAGTTGGACTTCAGTCTTGGAGTAAAATCCTACGATAAAAAAGTTAATGAATGACAAAATGGATTAATTATTTATATATGTAGATCTTAGTTAATTACTGATTTCGATTGAAAACTTAGTTCACTTCAAGAGTCAAACAAATGGCTTCCAACTTATTGGTTCAGTGTTTTATTAAAGCAACTATAAGACCCAACTATTTCGACTAGGTCTAAATTGCACTTCAAAACATAAAGATGAGAACACTGGATAGCTGTTTCGTCTACTTAGTATGGGACTCCTCAGCAGTACGCACCCACGACCCGGCTACGGATCGAACTCATGACCTTCAGGTTTCACAGTGAACGCGTTAACTATTCAGGAACTGAATCGGTTTTTCAGTGGTTCACAATTTCCAACTTCTTTCAATTCACAACATAGCGCGACTATCACCCAAGGTCTTCAGTCAGCATCCACTTCACTTCCGACTGGTTGACCCCAGTCGTTGAACAACTGGAAACCAACCCAGTAGCTGAAAGGTTAAAGCGTTCGTCGTGAAACCTGAAGGTCCTGAGTTCGACCAGTAGCCGGGTCGTGGGTGTGTACTACTGAGGAGTCCTATACTAGAACGAAACAGCTGTCCAGTGTTCCCAGATTTTCAACGATTCCCCAACTGATATCAGTCCATGATGAATACTACTTCTAAATTAAAAAAATCCCCATTCATCTCAAAAATACATAACGATGAGAGTTAAACTAAGTAACTTAGATGCAGAATTTTTATAAATCTATACACATACACAGAACAACTTAAGAAGAATCTTTTCTGTCAGCACTATTTAATCTCAGAATGTGTACCGGTTGAAAAAGCGCCAAATGAAATGATAATGATGATGACTGAAAAGTTATACTTCATTCTCTTTAATGACAACTACTGAGGCACGACAGCCCCCCTTGTGAAACTGGTATTAGTTGTTGTTAATTGATACTCATAATTTCCCCTTTCTATGCTAAATCGAATCACTCGACCTATGTTGGCAGATGTCTGCCTATCCAAATGCCTCGATACTTCCCAAGTGTTCATTATATTCTCCCTCGATGGTCTTAAAACAATAAACAATTTTTAAAAGTTGTTATTCATGGTAGACTGACATCAGTTGGAGGAACAAAGGAAACCTGAAAACACTGGACAGCTATTTCGTCCCGCTTGTATAGGACTCCTCAGCAGTGCGCACCCACGACCCCGCACTACCAAGGATCGAACCCGTGACCTTCAGCATCCGTGGCCAGTACGTTACCATTGAGCTAGCCACTGGGTCAGAATCCAATCGCCCATATTCCCAACTTCTGTTAGTTCACGATAAAGCGCAACCGCCACCCAATGTCATCGTTGAGTAACTGTCTTCACGACCATCAGGCTTTGACTCCACCGGTCACGACTTCTCATTGGAACTTCGGGAATACCTTTCGAAGCTAGGCGGTTGCGCTGTATCGTGAGCTAATAGATGTTGGAAATATAGAGCATTGGATTCTGACCCAGTGGCTAGCTCAATGGTAACGTACTGGCCACGGAACCTGAAGGTCACGGGTTCGATCCCTGGTGGAGTCGTGGGTGCACACTGCTGAGGAGTCCTATACAAGCGGGATGAAACAGCTGTCCAGTACTCCCAGGTTTCCTTTGTTCCTTCAAATGATGTCAGTCTGCGATGAATAACAACTTAAAAATATTTCCAAATCTCCACAACTCCCTCAAAAATTCAGTAAACAATTTGAAGATAAAAGTTAGTGGGAGTATCTAAGCTTTAAAAGATGTCAAGGAATGAATACATCTCCATCAGTGTCACTGATTTTCAATCATGTCAGCAAGAGTCTTGGCAACCCCAGTCAAGCAGTCTACATAATAATAATAATAATAATAATAATAATAATAATAATAAATAATAATAATAATAATAATCATTTTATTCTAAACAATTTGTGGTACTATCTGGAATTCTCAGCATGATATATTGTAAAAGCAGAATATATATATATATATATATATATATATATATATATATATATATATATATACTCCTTTACAACATTTCAAATAGTGTTACGGTAAAAATTTAAGTAATCTATAGAATATTAATAACGAGAATATCTTACATTGTTAATTAAATTATTGAAATTAGATTCTTAACTATATAGTAATGATGGATAGAGGCTAACAGTGGGATCCAGAATGCTCATTTCCTCCTATTTGGGAACAGTCAGCTGGATGTACCTGCCTCCCAGTGAGTGATGTTGTTCCCACCCGTCGCATAAAAAGTGGCTATTGTGGCTCGGTGATGAAGTGGATTACGTTCTGGCTTTTGAAACAATCGGTCCTGAGTTGGAATCCTGATGGGAACAATATCACTCACCGGAAAGCAGGTACATCCAGCTGACAAGTCTCAAATAGGAGGAAATGCGCAAACCTTTATCAACCTCATTCAACACCAACTATATGCTATGCTATGCTATGGAAAGCTCAGCTTAATGACGTGTATGAAGTGGATACAGGGACAGGAGTAAGACAAGGCAGCCACCTATCATCACCAGTCATCTTCCTCATTGTGGTCAACTAGACTAGACTCGACTCGACTCGACTCGACTCGACTCGACTAGACTAGACTAGACTAGACTAGACCCGACTCAACTGGATCATGCAACAGACAACTGTGGAGAGCTGTGAGAAAATGGGTATATACTGTTTGATCGATGTGATGAAAACACCCTATCAGAAGATATGGATTTCGCCGATGATGATGTTGATGATGATGATGATGATTTATGTCTCATGTCTTGTCGCACAAACTCGAAGATTTACAGGCGAAGAGTAACAGGTTGGTAGAGGAGGTGAGGCAGGGGAGTGAAGGAAGATGCGACTTCCTTCAGGTGGACGTAGAGAATACAGAGGTGGAGGTGATGACGATACCCAACCAACAACAACAGCAATCACCTTGAAGGGAAGAAATGTAAAGGAAGTTTTGAGAGTCATAATTACTCATCAAGGTTTACAGCTGATCACGAATAAGATCGCAGGTTTTACTGTCTATCTTACAGTATTCAGGAAAGTTTATCTCTATTGATAAATGTAACTGTCCACTACTTCTCTTATAACAAACAGTATTAGTAAAAGGTATTGCCAAAACATCCAATCACAATACGAATCCCTTTACCTTAATACTGTTATATTGGTTTACTTGATGTGAGAAACTTACTAGAACAATAATGACAACAACAATAACAATCAGATATAGGCTTTAATAACAATATTTGCAGTGAATAACTCACCAGTTTGTATTCTATATGAACAGTCTGTTTGTCTTTCCACATTATAATGATGCACTCGACCCAAATGACAAATAGATACAGCATAATTTCTGTTTACAGATTCACGTAATAAAAAGAGACCTTCATTAGCTCCATGTGTAAACAATAATTCCTCAGCTTGTTCTCTTGTTATTTTACCATAGAAATAAGATATCGATTCAGGTGGTATAGCACCAGGTAATAAAGTGAGTAAGTAAGCCGGTGTAACAACAATACTATTAGCTGTATTCATATGAATATTACTGTTATTCTTATTATTGTTAATATTGGTGGTGGTGATGGTGGTGGTACTTGTAGTATTGTTATGAATGTTATGAATGACATCTTTCCGCATACATACTGGGGAAACAGTTACTTGGAATGGACTTGTATGCGCCATCTAGAAACAAGGCAGAAATGATAAAGTGTTAAGTTTATATATATACATTGTAGAACAACAAAGCAGTATCGATCAAATTCTTGCTAACAACCTTTCAGCCTATCAAAGTCATTCAGTTATACAATACACTGAAAAAACCCATGTTCATTTGTAAAAGTAAAGCCCAAAGTTAATATTTTAAGCTTGAATAGATAAACTAGGCTTCTTAATCTACAATTTTTTGTTATGCAAATCAACATTTATACATAGTGATGGATTGAAGGTGTGATAAAAATTTCGGCCACGAAAGGATTCGAAACAAAAATCTCTGGGTTCTCAACCCAGTACTCTAACAGCTACAGAACTATGAGTAAACACAAACTCTCCAACTAGAACTGAACACCATAAAGCTGTTGAAATCCGGTAAAGCAGTAGGACCATATGGAATTCCGCCATAAGCACTGAAAACAGACGAAAGGACAACAGCAAATATCCTCACACCACTATTACAGAAGGTTTGCGAGGAAAGATGGAAAGGTACCCACGATTGACTAGAAGCAGGACTACCTTGTCAAACTACCAAACAACGCAGACCTAAGTCTTTGCTACAACAAGAACTGGTGCGGAATCTTCCTCCACTCCTGTCAACACCAAGCAAAATATCATTCCACACCATCATCCTAGAGAAACTAAAAGGAAAATGCTCTGCACTCAAAACTACGAGCGAAACAGGCTGGCTGGCTGGCTGGATTCAGGAAGAACAAATAGTGTGTGGATCAAAATGGTAACACTACACTACACATCATAGTAGAACAGACCACAGAATGAAGTCAACTCAACTCTACCTCAACTTCATCGATTTTGAAAAGGCATTCGATAGCGTTGACCGAGAAGTAATTTGTCAGGCAGCTGCTCACACACTACGGTTTCAGTGCCACAAACCTTGATCAACCTCATTCAACACCAACTATATGCTATGCTATGTGAAGCTACATGCCAAGTGATTCACAATGGAAAGCTCAGCTTAGTGACGTGTATGAAGTGGATACAGGGACAGGAGTAAGACAAGGCAGCCACCTATCATCACCAGTCATCTTCCTCATTGTGGTCAACTAGACTAGACTCCACTCGACCAGGCTAGACTAGACTAGACTAGACTAGACTAGACCCGACTCAACTGGATCATGCAACAGACAACTGTGGAGAGCTGTGAGGAAATGGGTATATATTGTTTGATCGATGTGATGAAAACACCCTATCAGAAGATATGGATTTCGCCGATGATGATGATGATGATGTTGATGATGGTGATGATGATTTATGTCTCATGTCTTGTCGCGCAAACTCTCATAGCGTCGCCATCACCCAATATCATCGCTGAGTATTCGTCCTCGCAGTCACCAGATTTGCCCTACTGGTCATGACTTCTCATTGGAACTCCGGGAATCTAGCTTCGGGAGATGAGTACCAAAGTTCCAGTGAGAAGTCGTGACCGCTGGAGTTAGCCAAGTCGAGCATGAGGACAGTTATTCAACGGCGGCATTGGTTAGAGCTCACCATATATCATAAACTGACAGAAGTTAGAAGTATGGACCACTGGGTTCCGACCCAGTGGTTTAATGGTAACGTGGTGGCCACGAAAACTGAGGGTCGCAGTTTCGATCCCTAGCGAGGTCTTAATGTTCACACTACTGAGTCCCATATTAGGATGAAATAACTCTTCATTGCTCCCAGGTTTCCAATGTTCTTCAAACTGATGTCATCCCGTGATGAATACCAACATAATGATAAAAATATCATCTTATTCTGAAAAAGGTGTTCTCACTGAGTTACTCAAACTCATCAAAGTAACTAATTGTATGAAATATTAAGGAAGTTGTATTGCAGCACACTTGTGATAACTGCTTCATCGAATCATGATCGTCTAGTACTATTGATATCGAATTACAGAAAGAGAGGGGGAAGAGAGAAAGAGAGAGTAAAGCGAAGTATAAGTCAAGTGATGTGTTGATTAATCACATTCCTCAATTATGACTCACTTTCACTCAAGTTTCACTTCTCAGTACATTTTTTTAGTACGCTTTGAGAAATTAACAACAAAAGGGTCATTGTGCTGCGGTTCAAACCTTTCAAAATGTCACTCTTTGTCATCTCCGAAGTTTCATATGCGGATGCCAGTGCATGAAAAGTAGACGATCACTTCGATTGCATCAATCAGGGGAAAACACAAGGTATAACATCAAAGTATTATTATTCTTATTATTATTGTTAGTAATTTTCCCTTGAGTTCCCAGTTGAACATACAGATTCAGTAGTACGCCTCCATTGCACTCTGTTCAACGCAGTCTTTTGGACCTGGCACCACGACTACCCATAAGCTTTCATTTCTCCCTTACATGATCACCTCCATGTCACCCTTGCCTCGGACGACCAACTCGTCACTTTCCCTTTGGATTCCACTCCGGGTGGGGCCTGGCGTGTGAAGTCCATAGTCGACCTTCTCAGTGCATGCCCAATCCATCTATACTTCCACTTTCTTCCCCATATTCGTTGAGCGATAGGTTCTTGGTTGGTCCATTCCCAGAGTTCGTCCTTGCTTATTGTTATTTTTCTGGCCATCTGATCCATCTTCAGTATCGAGCGTAGGCAGTTGCTGTTGATAAATATCTGTAGTTCGTTGGAAGTGCTTTCCGTGACACACCAAGTTTCCGAACCATCACATAGAATCACTGACTGACTTGACTGAATTAGTGTTGAACATCCGTATGTTGTTCACGCTTTACGCTGAGTGGAGTGCAGTAGATCTCCACACTCATTTCAGATTAATGAAAACCAATCTTGCTCTCTTTTTAGTCCTAGTTTTGACATCCTCGTCTGTGCCTCTGCTGCCACCTGTAGTTGAAATGATGCTGCCTTGCCAAAGTAGGTGGAAAAGATTACTTTCTTTACATTTCTCCCCTTCATGGTGATTAGTGCTTGTTGTTCATGCTGTTGTTGTTGTTGGTTGGTTGGGTATCTTCATCACCTCCACCTCTATCTTCTCTAAGTTCACTTGAAGTCCCATTTTCGCTGCCCTACCTCTTCTGTCAACTTGTTAGTTTTCGCTTATAGATCTTCGAGTTTGTGCAACATTAAACGAAAATCGTCGGCGAAATCCAAATCTTCTTTTGGAGTCTTTTCATTGGTCAAACAGCGTATGCCCATCTTCTCGCTAATCACAGTCTGCTGCATGATCCAGCCTATCACATCAAAGTATACCAATCTTATATTTTTGTCTCAGTAAGTCGCCTGATGACTTACAATTCTAACGCACATTTCATAGTCGAACTGAATTCTTCAACCTATTTTTGTACCACTTTGCACAGCTTTATGAATAAGCCTCTCTAACCCATTTTTGTTAAATTTTTCACTTAAATGATATTGATTTCTCTTCTATGTCACAATATAACTGGATGATCATAAAGGGTCACCTCTTGTAGCAAACTTGAATATTAACCTGAAAACCTAATATTCAGATTCATTCTCTTGAAAAGTTTAGTCTTAGTAAGATAGAAACGTTAACCTCGCCTGGTTAACTAGTTCACTAGTTACTAGCCGGTCCTAAGCCCGGGTAAAGAGGGAAGGTTGGGCATAGGGCTGGCAAACCTACCCCGCACAACAAATCTAACCGCTAAAGAAACTTCAAAGCACAAACAAAAGGTAAAAAATAATAACAAAATTATTCCTCTCTGCAATCGGAGAGGCGAAATGACGCCAGTTGGTGAAAGCCTTTCGGGAAGCCAATTGGCCAATGTGTCTTCTCTCCCTCCATGAAAGCGAAAGTAAACGTGAGGACATCAAATATCCGCAACATGTTCGAACCCAACAAGGCAGCCCAGATTGCAAACGAGATGAAGAGGTATCACATTGAAGTGCTAGGAATTTGCGAAAGCAGATGGAATGGAAGTGGACTCTCCAAACTGTCAACTGGAGAATCAATAATCTACTCCGATATTGTCACCCAGACGACAACCACCAGCACACTGAGTTTTCGAGTGGCTATCATGATATCCCCAACAGCATCGAAGGCTCACTCTCATACAGTGGGAACCAATCTCCTCCTCCAGCATCATAACAGCAAGGTTCAACTCAAAAGGAAGGAAGGAAGGTCACAATAGTACAATGCTAAGCTACGCACCTACAAATGATGCAGGTCAAGAGAAGAAGCAGGAATTCTACAAACAACTGCAATCAACACTGGACAACCCACTCCAGTTGATGACATCAAAATCCATTCTAATGGGTGACATGAATGCCAAACTGGGAGCGGAAAACACAGGAAGAGAACAATCCATGGGCCGAGAAGCGCTCGGTGATGTGATGAACGAGAATGGAGAATTGTTTGCAGAATTCTGTACATTCAACGATTTGGTGATTGGAGTCAGGCAGTGTATGCAAGCACAAGGATATCCACAAAGCGAGTGACATGGATTTCACCAGATGGACACACTAAAAATCAAATCGACTTCATCTCAATCTCAAGAAGGTGGAGACGCAGTCTACTTGACACAAGTTCATGAAGAAGAGGAGCAGATGTAGGTTCACACCACTCACTATCTAGTACAAGGAACCTAACTTCGAAACCAAGTTGAAAGCCTTTAAGGAAGTTGGTGATAGACCGCAGTTCGAGTACAACACTCGGAAACTGAAGGATGAAACTACAAAGGAAATCTTCACATCAGCCATCAAGACAAAATGGGAGATATCGAGGAACATTCCTGAAGAAACCTGTGTGGAAGAACACTGGAAGTCTTTGAAAGCTATGTGGAGAGAAACCTGCACAACCGTATTAGGAAGGAAGAAGAAAGAAGATAAGGAATGGGTTTCAGTGGATACATGAAAGCTGATAGAGGAGAGGAGGATGGTGAGGCAGAAGATAAACCAGTGTAAGGATGCTCAACGACAAGAGGAACTGAGCACAATGTATAAAACACTATACTCGAAAATGAAGTGAAGAAGAGTGCGCGGAAAGACAAAACACA